GCAAATCAAAATCTCATATACACTGAAAGATAAAAACAAATATACACTATACAGATGAAAAAACCCATTTGAGACTCTCGTTGAAGGTGACATGGAGCTGAGATCTGAAGAGATCTTCTATTCAGTTTCAATCAAAGACAAACATACACCTTCTGTGTTGGTTCGATTCGGGGAAGAAGAAATCGGAAGCAGAAATCTATGGAGGGTGGTGGCAATCGATCGCAAAGGAGGGAATAATTCTAGTTCTTGACTAATTCGAAGAAAGGAGAAGGATCACGAAATCAGAAAAGAAAGAAATACCTAAGCAACAGAGATTTTTGGTCTGGTGGTCAAGGTTTGTCGAGCAAGGAACAAACACGTACGGTGACCTCACTGGTTCGTAGAGGGAGGACGAAACGAAAGCAGCAAGGGTTGTTGAAGCAGCTCCTGAGCTTCTTCTGTCACGGAAAGAAATGTGAATGTGGGGGGAAGAGATGGTACGATGGAAGCAGGGCAACATCAACAAAAGTTCAGGTGGGTATGGAGTCAGCGAAAGAAAAAGAGAAGGTTCGAGGGGGCTATTGCCCTCTTGTCTGCTGGAAAATCTCCACCTCCGGTGGGGGTTTCTTTGATAGATACTGAACAGGAAAAGAGAGGAACAAGAGCTGAACTGGACAACAAAATTTGGGGGTGTTTTGCTTCTTTGCTCGACAGAAAAAGGAATAAGGAGTAACAAAGGGTTGTTGCTCCTCTATTTACCAGAAAACAACAAGAACACCACCTCCAATGGAGGTGTTTTTGGTTGCCTATCGGAGAGAGAGAGAGGGAGTGTGAGAGAGAGAGAGAAAAGGTGGGACCCTTTGTAATAAATAATAAAATAATAGTAAAGGAAAAAACAAATAGAAAAGGGCAAATCCGTCATTTGAAGAATTTTTAAAGTGCTTTGGACCGAACTCGCAACAAAATGAAAACTTTGGACCTGTGGTGCTAGTCCAAACTTTTTTGGACTAAAGTGGCAATTTTGAGCAAACACAGGGACAATTTGTGCATTTTTATAGTAGATATATAATATATATATATATTATATATATATATATAATATATCTATATATATATATATATATATATATATATATAAGCCATAACCTTTAGAATTTGAGGAAAGTGGAATATGAAAAGAGCTTAGGAATTTAGGAAGAATTTCAATGAATTAAGGAGGGATTCTTTAAAGTTTTACACGTCAGCATCATCAAATAACTAGAAGGCCTATGATGAGCGTGTGACGTACAATTGCCAGTTGTTGGTGATTTTAGTGTCACCATGTCATTTTAAGTAACTCGAACTAACATGTGAGCTAAGGGGCTTCATAATTTATAATCTATTATATGTACGGGGTTGTGTGGAGTGCACGCATGTATAAAATCAAATTAGAAGCCGGTTCGACGTCTAGTCAGGGGTCCGGGGGCAGCGCCCCTTTGGCGGGGTCTAGGGGCAGCTCCCCTAGCGGGGTCCAAGGGGCAAAGCCCCTGGCTGGGAGAACGTGGAATTGATTTCATATTCATTGGATATGCTGAACATTCCAAGGCATATTGGTTTTATGTAATAGAACCTAATGATTCGGTTTCGGTTAACACTGTTATCGAATCACGAGATGCATTTTTGATGCATGTGTTCATCGATTCAAAGGCCTAAGGATCTGAATTTTGGTGCTCTTAAAGAGAAAAATTCAGAAAGTCAAGATGGTGGTAATGTGCAAGAACCACAAGAGCTTTGTAAAAGCAAAAGAGGCAATATTGCGAAAAATTTCGGATCCGACTTCCAACTGTATTTGGTGGAAGGTTCAAGAGATGAATTTAATATTGAATACTCTTATTGCTATTGTATTGAAGATGATACTAAGACTATCAAGGCCATAGAGTCCTCGTGATAGTGCCTTTTGGAAGGAAGCAATTGATGATGAAATGTCATCAATTCTTGAGAACAACACATGGGTGTTGTCTGATTTGCCTCCAGGTTCTAAACCACTCGGTTGCAAATGGATTTTCAAAAGAAAATGAATGTTAATGGGACTATTGACAAGTTCAAAGCCCGGTTAGTCATTCAAGGTTTTAGAAAAAAACCCGATATTGACTACTTTGATACGTATGCTCCGGTTTTGCACGTATTGCTACTATTAGATTGTTGATTTCTTGGCAAGTATCCACAATCTGGTTATTCATCAAATGGATGTGAAAACAGCCTTTTTAAATGGTGATCTTGACGAGGATGTTTACATGAAACAACATGAAGGTTTTATTATGCCCGGTAAGGAGCATAGGTTTGTAAACTTGTCAAATCTTTGTATGGGCTGAACACAGCGCCTAAACAATGGCATCAGAAATTTGAATGAAGTTATTTTGTCCTCTGTTTTCAATACAAACCAATGTGACAAATGTGTTTATAGTAGATTTGATGATGCTATTAAAGTTGGGGTGATCATTTGCTTATATGTAGATGATATGTTGATTTTTGGTACCGACCAAAATCAAGTGGATGAAACAAAGAAATTGTTATCATCTAAGTTTTCTATGAAGATTTTTAGGAGAGGCTGATGTAATTCTTGGAATAAAAATTAAAAGGATGAACAAAGGTTTGGTAATGACTCAATCATTATAGTGAGAAAATTCTCAGCGGTTTAATTTACCGACTGTTCTCCTGTGAGTACTCCTATGGACCCAAGTTTGAAATTAATGCCAAATAATGGTGTTCCTATTTCACAATGGAATTTCTAGGCTATTGGTAGCTTGATGTATGCCATGAAAAGTACCAGACCTGATATTGCTTTTGCTGTGGGTAAGTTGAGCAGGTACACTAGTAATCCTAGTGCTCAACATTGGCATGTAGTGAATAGAGTGTTTAAGTATCTCAAGAGAACCATGGATTATGGCTTGAGTTATATGGGAAGTCCTTCGGTTTTAGAAGGTCATTCGGATACCAGTTGGATAACCAACATGGAGGACAATTCCTCAACTTCTGGTTGGGTATTCTTGCTTAGGGGAGGTGCCATTTTTTGGGCTTCCAAGAAGCAATCTTGCATTACAAACTCGACAATGGAATCTGAGTTTGTTGCGTTAGCAGCTGCTGGTAAAGAAGCAAAGTGGCTAAGGAATTTAGTCTATGAGATTCCTTTGTGGTCTAAACCGATAGCACCTATTTCTATCCTTTGTGATAGTGCAACCGCTTTGGCTAAGGCATATAGCCAGGTTTATAATGGCAAGTCTAGGCACTTAGGTGTTAGACATAGTATTATTAGAGAACTAATCATGAATGGTGTGATTTCGGTTGAGTTTGTGAAATCGCAACAAAATTTGGCAGATCACTTGACTAAAGGTCTGACAAGAGACTTAGTGCACAAGTCTGTAATCGGGATGGGATTAAAGTCCATTTAAATTCTATAATGACGAGACACCCAATTCCCTTCTAATATAATGTTAGGAGTTGAATTCAATGTGGAAATCTCATACTTATAGATTGGAACACATGAAGTATTCATCCCAGGTATGTGTTCGGTTCTGCATGTTAGCCAGGTTGAAGTTTAACTTCTTAATAATTCTTTGATAAATGTATGTGCAGATACATGGAAAAGAGTTACCTACGTGATTGTGAAGTGTAGCCGCATTTCAAGAGGTTGTGGACTTGACCTTGATACGATCATGAGAGGATTGGGACACACGACTTTATAATAGTGTCAAGTTGTAATTTGCTAGAAATTCAATAAACTAGTATGTATTTTACTTTCTGGTATTCAAATGGGCTGATGGGTTCAATTCTTAGAACACCCTGATTCTCGAGTATTTGCAAATGTATGATACTAAGTGGAAATTCAATCGTTTCAATATTTTCATTATGTGCTAGTTTGGTTTGTTTGATAAAGGTTATGTTTGTTCAAGGGTTACACTAAAAGGGGGAGGATTGTTGGTGATTTTAGTGTCACCATGTCATTTTAAGTAACTGGAACTAACATGTGAGCTAAGGGGCTTCATAATTTGTAATCTATTATATGTACGGGGTTGTGCGAAGTGCACACATGTATAAGATCGAATTAGAAGTCGGTTCGACGTCTAGTCGGGGGTCCGGGGGCAGCGCCCCCGGGTCCGGGGTTTCCAAAGGAGCAGCGCCCCCTTTGGCGGGGTGTAGGGGCAGCGCCCCTAGCGGGGTCCAAGGGGCAGAGCCCCTGGATGGGGTCCCACTAGGTAAAACTAACGAAACTCGTTAGTTTTGGGAACATAGTGGAAAATTTAGGGCCCCTCACCGAATTTTACATATGGGAACATAGTGGAAAATTCAATTTCTGGAGGGTGTTTATGGTAAAACTAACGAAACTCATTAGTTTTGGTAACCCTAAATCCTCATTAAATCCGGATTAACATTACTTGCTTCCAAAGCAACTAATGATGGCCCAACCTGATAAAACCCTAATATCGTTTATTATATAAACGGCTCTTCTTTTCAGAAGAGGGTAACGATCTTAAGCTCTCGTTTGATCATACTTTCACAAAATCCTCTAGCATTTTGGCTTACGATTTCTGTGCCTAGAATCGTAAGTGTCCACTTGGATTATCCTAGGCTGAATTTCTTGTAACCCAGGCATAGGGTAGAAATATCAGTTCGGAAAGTGATATCACGATCCAAGTTGGTATCCAAATCTCCACCACAAACCCTAATCTTCCCAACAATCAGTCCCCTGGGCGTCCACTCAGAGAGCAAGTGTATAGGACGCTTCACATTGGAGATTCTTTTTAGGCGAATGAAGATGATGAATTAGCACTTTTAAGGACACACTTCAGAGAGATACATGTGCCCTTCAACCGATGTTCCTGTTTCCCAAGAAACCCTTAAACCCTTGGCCCCTAAGATACCACTGCCAGTGGTTTTCTCTTAATCTCTCTCTTCTTTTCCGTTTCACTTTCTCCATCTTTCTCTCTATTTCATTTTACCAGAACCCTCGAAACCATATCATCCACCAGACACTGGCGGACAGACAGTCATATCTCCTCCACAAATTCACACTCTAAACCATCTCCTAATAAAACACCGCCTCTGCCTTTCACCTGGGGGTACAACGAACCTAGCTATTCTTTCTATAATTTATCCTTATAATCACTTCATCGAGCGACTTCATCTTTTTCTTTAAAATAAGAGTTACTGATTTTAGTTTCTTATTTGTTTTTGTTTTCTTTGATTTTCTAGGTGATTTTTTGGGAATTAAGAGGTCGCAATCGATGATGCTAAGAGAATAATCGACCTGACAGACGAAGACAAATACAGGGAAAAGAAGACAAATTTAAGATGGGTTTCGTTTAATTTTTAGGGCATCGACTTAGTGATACTTTTATCAACAAAATTTTGTGGTACCTGAGTACGCTCCTATTTTTCAAGCTTCTTGGATGAAATCATTGACTCTTTCATCATTTGTTCATGATCTTCATTTTAATTTGGTTTTGGATGGTGTTTAATGCAAGCAAAAAGAAGAAAATCTAGATGCACGTTTGTAAGTACATTTTCTTTCTATTTTGGAGTGGTTGAATGTTAGTTCTCCTAAACCTCAAGCAGGAAATTGAAGAGCTCCACTGGAAACTTGACTTTGTGAAATTAAAGCTTGAAGAAGCCTACCTTCTTAATGATTATACTGAAGAAGATATCCAAGGGTACAGAGTTAAATTGGTGATCGATGTTTCGAATTTCCTTGATTGTGGATGAAAAATCGAATGTTGGGTTTGATTTGGGGCACTTAAGGTATTTGAGTACATTTCTTTTGTTGACGATTATTTTATACTTCATTTCAGTTGTAAGCAGTGTTGTAAAAATCAGCCTAGGCAGCCGCCTAGGCTGTGCCTAGGCTCTAGGCAGCCTCTTACTGTCTACGATTAATGCTAGTCGGTCTTGGGCGGCTGTAGGCGGTCCTAGGTGGTCCTGGGCGGTCTAGACTGTCTAAGCTAGTAAAAAAGTCAAAATTTTATGATATTGGATGACTAAATTTCTGATATTGGGTGACTAAGTTATGATGATTGATGAATAAAGTATTAAAAAGATCACCAATCAGTTTAAAAATTGTTATATACGATGATTTAAATATTTAGACGACAGAATATGCCAAAGTTGTATGGTTTTTTACTTATTTTGTTAGGATATCGGTAATATTTAATTTTTAAAAAATAAATTCTATTAAAATTAAGGGTCTTTGCCTAGCGTCGATTAATCCACGCCTAGACCGACTAGTCCCTTAACTCCAGTCCACCGTACGAACACCGCCTAGCGAATTTTACAACCTTGGTTCTAAGTAAAGTTCTAGGTCTTCAAACTGTGTGAAATCACATTTATGTGGGTTTGATCGAGTGGTGTAACCCGAATCTCTAGATATAATTTAGTTATGAGTAAAATGGCAAGTAGCCATCGATTTTTTGTTGATTCATTTCAAATATGTGTGCTTATGTTTCTAAATTAATGTCATAGTTTTCCAAATAAACCTTAGAATTTGAAGACATGTTATATTTAGGTTCCATGGAATGTGGTTACTTTGTGGATTTTCCAATTGCGGACAAGCTGTTTGATGAAATGGTTAAACCGGAAGCTGTGTTTGTTAGCTATAGGATGCTTTGAATTGTAACTTATTGGTGTCAAAAGTATGCATGTGGTCCATTTTATGTATAATTTGATGCATAAACAATAAAAAATGAAAATCAACAGCTTGAATGACTATATTGGGTAAGGTAGGATGTATGTTGCAATGGTAATTCATGAGGGATGATGAGTTTTTGTTAGAATCTCATTGTTGTTGGGATTATTCTTAAGACAACCTCATAGTGGATTTCCTATTCTAAGAATATTAAGCCCATAAAGAAAGTTTTTCGTGATATGCTACCAAATATGGTATATTCATACAGGTTTGGTGATTTTTACTCTTTATTTTCATGTACTCATAATACTTTTAAAAGGCATTTAGTAATCGATATACGATCACCCCTTTCCAATTTTATAGTAAATGTGTTTTTTTAAATATTAATCGAAAGTTTTCATGAGCTGCAAGATGTTACAAAAAATATATATAAATTACCTTTAGTTTCATTTTTTTTTTGAATTTATGCATCTTTTTTATTATTAAATATTAGATTAGGAGTGACTTTGGCACTTTGGAAGACATTTGTTTACCAAACAGAATATGATGCCAAAAAACCGTGCATTCAACATTTAGGAATATGCCTCATTGTTATTCTGTTAGATTGATGGTTGCCTACCTTTATCTAGACGAAATCAACTCAACACCTTCAAAGAAACAAGGTAACTAGCATAACCCTTTAATCCCACAAATTTAAAAGTTAATTCCAAGAAATAACAACCTAATTTTATTCATTTGTGTATTAGACATAATGTTCATTTCTTTATATTACAACATTGCAATCTCAAAGTTTTTCTTCTGATGGCATTATAATTTGAGATGTATATCCAATTATTTAACTATATTTTTAACCTTTTACTATTACAATATTATACTTGAAAAAATCTACCCATTTATACAAAATTGTTTTGTATTTGGATGACGTGATAATTAGGTAGATTTTCCTAACTATCATGATTTAATAGGAGCCATGAAATTAAAATGGATTTGAACAAATCAATGAAAGTACATTGCTATTTCTTCCATTTAACCCTAAATTTTATCAAAAATGCTCATAATTGGTGTTTAACATTTAGTGTTAGTATTTAATTTCTAGATTAAATACACTCTTAGTCGGTGAAGACAATAATACAAGTCGATGGTTCAAGCACAGGACTACGGGACTCGCCAAATTCTGAATCTTTAATGTGTTATATCGTCAAAAAGAACTAAACCATGTATCCTTAGGAACACGGTAAGTTGATTCATTTGTTTCAAATTAAAATTTTGGAAAGATTTAATAATATGGTTGTTTCTTAAGAACTTGATGGTCTTAACTGTTTATGCATTTAATTTGGAAAACAATAGACAGTTGTTTTTTTTTCTAGAATGACTTAATCGGCTAAGATACTGACATTAAGATTCATATCACTTTTCTGGGACATCTTTTAAGTCATTTTCCTGTCGAATTATCAATTACATAAAGAACTTAATTTATCTGCATCCATATTAAACAATCATTGTCGTTCTTTTTTTGTATCAAGTAAAAGAGAACATTGATATATAGTATATCACATAAGTCATGTTTGAATGTTTGTGTGCAGATCATAGTGTTTTCATGCTAGTGATATTATTTATATACAGTTCTTATAGGCATGAAAATGTAGCTACCTATCTATCATAGATAAAGAAATGTAAATGCACTTCTATTATAAAATAATAAGAAAGTCTCTTGCCTATTTTAGCTAGACAGTAAAGTAAGTTGCTATTTTCTGCTATATGGCCTATACTTAAATACCCAACGTTAATAACAATCGTCTTAATTGATTCTTAGAATTTCCCATAGAAACCTCTGTGGGTCGTGTTTAACACGACACTTACACGTCACTAGTATATATAATGGTTAATAGTGCTAACTTATAAAATGTAATAAACAAGATTTTCTTATACAAGGATAAATTGATAATGGTTTTAAAAATCATATTGGTATTGATTAATTTCAATTACTATTTTGATTCTTCAGAATTGTAATGTTTTGTTAGAGATCTAAAAAATTTCAAGCGGTGATCTTCTTCTCATCCTATTCCCCAGCGGGATCAAACGCCGGCAGATCCAATCTGATTTTTCTCTACCTTCGATTTCTGGTAAGCATCGAACCTCATGGATGCTGTTAAGAATAGGGCCGACTACTCTAAGCATCCTTCCAATGAAACCCTAATTGAAAACTTGGACATAATATTTACGTAACGAATTTTCCGGGACCACTACTAGAAAACAGCCCTTTAATGACGCGCAAACAATGACACACAGTGATAGAGGACACGCATTTGTGCGCGCCCTAAAAACTAATGTTAGTTTTCCAAAATTTTAAGGATAGAGGACACGCATTTATGCGTGGCCTAAAATTAGTGTCAGAAAAGAAAAAAAAAGAAATGTGGAGGGCGCCTTTCATAAAATGTGCAACATGTAAATGTGTCGCTTTATAATTTTTAAGTGAAACACGCGTTTTAGACGGGAAATGAAATCGACGAAAATTACCCCAGCATATTGGATCCCAAAAATCAACCCCCCCCCCCCCTCTTTGACTTAGCAAGAAAAAGCCCTAGGGCCTTCATCTTCATCTTCAGCAGTGGGAATACCTAGGTCGATTCTTCAGGATTCTCTCTTCTTCCGCTCCCCAATCTCCGATTCCACTCCGATCAAGATCTTCAACAGCTTTGAACTTCTTTATGATCCATCCAACCATTCCCTCCACCGTTCCTTCCTAGAGAAAAAACAGGAACTCTATGAGTTTGCACCTTTATCTTTCTACGAATATTCACACACTTACACAACAATCGATTTCTAGGGTTTCTCTGACACTTTAATTTATGTTATACTGATACGTGAACTCTCACGCAAGAAAACCAAGAATGGAAGACACACCGGCAACCAACATCGGCGGAGACGCTCACTAGGAAATGATCGCAACATTCTCAGAAATTACTTCTGCTACCAAATAAGAAGCCTCCTTCTTCCTCGAATCGCACAACTTCGATCTCAATTCCGTCGTCTCCACCTTCTTCGAAACCGCTGCCGCCGTAGAAGACGCTCCTGTGTCTACCTTACCTAGCCGAAACACTAACCGGCCTTCTGATACACATTCCCCTTCATTTTCTTCACCGTCTTATCCATCTCCCTCCCGATCAGCCTCCCCACCTCCTTCTATTGGTTTACAAAATCCTTACAATCTACGATCTAGGAACACCGCTACGGATAAGAAGCCATCAGGTAGTCGGTCTACTAGACGCATACATACTTTCTCAGATCTGAATCGACAGGGCGATGTCTCCGGAAGTGACTCCGATGAGCCCCATAAGTATTATACCGGTGGTGAAAAGAGGTAAATAAGGTAGGGTTAATCCGTTTATTAGGTTTCCGTCCATGAGTTGATTGACAAGGAAACTAGTGCAAACAGTACAAGATCTCTTTGCTAATATAATATTTATACATTCAATTGGAGCATAAGGAAGTCAGAATGTCCAGAAGAGCTTAGGCCTGCAAAAGGAAGAGCTCCTGTTCATGTCAGTCTTGTGAGGAAGCTTGAAGACTACCCTGTTAGTAATCTTTCCCATTTCTTGATTTCTTATACAATCCTTCTAGGCTATTTTTCTCCAATGCAAAACATGCAGGTCAACTCTTTGAATGTTTTGTTCAAATTTGAAAATCTTAAGGTCACAAACATTAAAGATCATATCATATGACACATGTACTTATGATCAACAGATACAAGTTTAACAATGTCAACAGTGTTGACATCAGACAATATTAGTGATGAAAGAGCCATGAACACTCGCACAACAGGTTAACAGATCCTTTTTTTTAAATAAATAAATATACAGCCCTTATCTTTATTATATACATATATATTTATTGCAGGATGGAAGTGATTGGAAAAATGATCATGTACCATCCTTCTCAATGATTGATGCATCCTATAGCTTGCCAAACAACACAGTTATTATAACTCTACAGGTATAATATATGTAATCATTATACTTGGTGGACTAGTTGTTTGTTCATTGGGGGCTATTCATACCATGATTAAGTTGATTTGTATTGTATTTGATGATTGCAGGAGCTTGAAAGTGGAAAAGCACTCCTTCGTTTGGCTCATCTATACGAGGTTTTACCATACTGTTCCAAGTTTTTTATTTTTTTCTTCATGAAATGTTTAGTTATGATTATAAACTGGCGGGGCGTTTGTTATATGGATTGAAAGGTGGGGGAAGACAAAGATTACTCTGTAATGGCAAGTGTGGAGCTGAAGAAGCTGTTCCCAGATAGGAAGGTATATCCATAAGTTGGTTTTAAATGTGATTTTTTTGTTGTCCATTTGATTTCTCTGTGTGTGTGTGTGTTTCTCAGATAAGGAAGGTAACAGAGATGAATCTGTCGGGCAATCAAGAAAGAGGCGAGATGGAGAGGAAGAAGCTTGCTTGAAAAGTGAAAGGTGGATCTGAGAGGGAGATAGTTAGGGGAGGTGGGGTTGATCCTGAAAAGCTAGTGGTGGAACTTAGGCCCATGGAAATCCGAACATTCTTCAACGATTTGTATCATCTCGGGATGTTTGGTTCGGTTAGTGATGAGGTGTTTGGTTGATGTAATGTAAGACAGACTATGTTTACTGGTGACATCACTTAGAATTTTTCATCTTATTCATTTCTATATTATGACAAATCTATAATTATGAGCATACTTCCATGTCTTGCTTGCTTTTCAGTTTTTTGGTGAGTTGTGCACAGTTTGATGTTGTGAAAGCATCTGGATTAGTTCCTCCTGTGATGCGATCATACAATCATAATATTAAAGGGTATTGGGATTTGACAGAAGGTAAAGTGATGACATGACAGCAACAAATCCTAGGAAAGAAGGGTATTATGGTCCGCTTGAGTATACTTCATATGTTGATTGCTACAAGCAAAAGTAAGCATTCAAGTCTTGTATTGTTTCGTTTCTAAACTGTTGTGATCCAAAAAAACAGAGAGAGGAAAATAGGAATAACCATATATTAAATTTGTAATCCATTAAGTCAGAAAAGAGACAGCCCCTTCCCTTCCCTTACTTCTTGTTCAATTTTCTTTATGTTGTACATTCCAGTAACTGATTTTTCCTGCTGCAGGTTCTGTTTGAAGATTTGAGCTCATCAGAATGTGTTCTTGATTTGATATTTTTCATCTGAGGTTTGAAAATGAGGTTTATTTAAGACATTATCATAATAATAGTCAAATTAGTTTGCATGATGTTTATATTCGTGCACATTGCATAATGTGTCGGTCCTTGAATTGCTAAATATCATGTTTTGTGGAGGTGTCAATGGTGTTTCTGCTTACAATCCAAGGGGGATTTTGTAATTGAATGCAATGCGACTAGTTGAAATAGTCTATGATGATTCTAATTTCCGATCTTACATAGTCTCAAATTTTGTAAGCTTTGATCTACTTTTATTATTATTATTATTATTTACATTTACTTTTCTATGATTCATTGAATTTGCAATTATTGTTGTATCATATGTCTATGCATGCAGACAAAGGTTCTGACAAGAGTATTTCAGGACAAGATGAAAGTATTCCCCAATATGTTACCTTCTACTTTTCAGGACAAGATGAAAAAACAGGTATCTTAATTGAATCAACTACCTAGACCTAGTCTTCTAAAACTCTTCAAAGTTTTTCTCTTTATGGAGGATTTTTATTGAGTTTTGTGGACTAGTGTGGTGTTTGATTTTATTGTAGGAAGCATTGAAAAGAAAGCTAAATGCAAGAATAGAATATGCATAGTTTCTTCAAGATACAGTTAAAGAGATGGCAAAAGAGATCCAAAACAACAAGAGTGGAGGAGTTAAGAAAACAACAGAGGAACTTGATGAATTTCTTAGTGTATGGGATAGCTTCATAAACAAAATATGTAGGCCAATATACATGGGCAATGGGCCCATGACCACTAAAAAGGTGCCCCTTTATAGCAATGTAGTATTAGGTTATATAGTTAGGGAAAACCTTTTAATAACAATTTACAATCAGATCCCTTTAATATCAATGTATTACAATTTTTTGACATGATGTTATTGGATGAAATTGATTGATTTGGTATATATTTTTTTTTCTATATTTTTGTATTATGTGTAAAAGAGTATCGTAAAGGCACGTCGTATATGCATATTGTAAATGGTTGCTGAAATTTATGACACGCAAATGCGTGTCATCTTCATTTATGACAGGGGCTATAATGATACACAATGTGTGTCCTAAACGCGCGTCGTAAGGTTACGACACGCAAATGCGTGTCGTCTTCCTTTATGACAGGGCCTTCCTTGATATACATTGCGTGTCGTAAGTGAGCGTCGTAAATGCGTGTCGTAACTGCGCGTCGTAAATGCGCGTCGTCTATAGACGACGCGCAAAAGCGTGTCGTCTCTCGTTATGACAGGGCCTTCCTTGACACGCATTTGCGCATCGTCTGAGTGTTTTACGACACGCATTGCACGTGGTAAAAGACTGTTTTTCTAGTAGTGGACACTTTTCTCAACATGAATTGTGGAAAACGTGTGAAAAGTAAGGGAAGGTGTTAGATGTTTTTATTGCTTCTCGGCTATCAAAGATGGGTAAACCATTTGCTTTCGTTAGGTTTGCCAAATCGGTGAATATTGACACATTACTATCCAATCTTGGTACTATTAGGATTGGTAAACTTAAGTTGATTACTAATTTGGCTCGATTTCAAAGGGGTGAAAAAGGGTTTTGAGTTAATAATAACATCAATAAACCAGTTCCTATTAGTTATACTCGTATGGGTGGTAATGCTAATTCTTATGCTTATGTTCTAAATGGTAGTAAGGTCGATAAACCAACGATGGTTATTGGGGGACGATTGTCTAGATCATAAGAATTACTCTCTAACTCTTATTGGTGAAGTGAAAGACTTTCGTTCTCTTACCAATTTAAGAGTTATTTGTGGAAATGAAGGATTTGAAGGAATAAACTACGACTACTTGGGTGGTAAATGGGTATCCTTGGAGTTATATTCCATGCATGCAAACAATAAATTTCTTCATCATGTTGGAGTACGTTCTTGGTTTGAAAAACTTGAAGATTGGAAGTATGATTTTGAACTCAAAAGTCGTGTGGTTTGGGTTGACATTGAAAGGGTTCCACCATTGGCATGCACATCGAAAACTTTTTCCTTCATTGTAGAAAATGGAGTGAGGTTCTCTATATGCACAATCCAAATGATAATAACTTATATAGCAAGCGGTTGTGCATCTCCACGATTAAAAAGTCTTTGATTATGGGGTCATTTAAGATTTCTATTCGTGGAAAGGTGTTTATGGTTAGGGGTAAGGAGGTTACGGTTTGGGCTCCAGATTTTATTGAATATGATTCAAAGAAGGTGGTTGAAAATAATGAAGGCCCATACTATAATCACGTTAATTTGGAGGAAGGTGAAATTGAGGATTTGGGAGTCGATGAAACTTGGAAGGAAGATGTTAACTCTCAAGGGGTGGCATATACTTTTCAACAAGGTGACCATGACATGGAGATCAATCAAGAAGAGAGGACTTATGAGGATCCATTTGGTATTCATGATCTATTAGCAAAAGAAAACAGATTGCAATCGAGTGATGCTAAGATGACTCATCCACCTGGTTTCACTCCCCCGGGAGGGTATCATTAGGATAGATCAACTGATTCACAACAGTAAATAAATAAAAAAGATGTCGATGAGGTTTATCCAATCCCTGCAGTAACTTCCCATCCTACTTGACCTTCACAACAAAAGGGAAAACGACGACAACAACACCAATTTCAACGACAATAGGCTGCTGCATCTCCTATTGCTCAGTCTTCGGTAGAGGCTGCAGTTTTATCAGGTGGAGCTGCTGTTAGCCGGGAGACAGGAAAGAAAAATGATGACCTCAGAGAAGGCTCATTTGAATCTCTTTCTTATTTTGGTGACTTCATTTGAATTTTCAAATAACCAAATGGTTTTTCTCTTATGGAAGAACTGAATGCTTTTATTGATATTGGTCAAGCAATGGGGTTTGCTATGGATGGTCGTTCTAAAAATATTCAGGAGATTATTGAGGCACATGGAGTCTCGGCTGGTATTCTATTCTTTGTTTAACCTTGAATATTCAAGGAATGGGGAAGGGGTAGAAAATAAAGTGGGTTAGGGAGATGTGTAATGTTAGAAATTCAGGGTAATAAAGGCACTTAGATATTCTGAGAATTGTGATTTCACTATAAAATCAAAGTATTGGGTGGTACTCCCTAATCTTTGATTGGATAAGACTCAGAAGAGAAAAGAACATAGAATTAGATATATGAATTTCGTAAGTACCAGAAAAACTGACCAAAATTGGTTAAATACCTCCTTTGTCTGAAAACTGTCATAAAACAGTTTGGCAACAGTCAAAAAACTGTCATAAATCCGGGTTTTCTATAAGGATTAATACCCAGCCAGGGGCTGTCGCCCCTTGGACCCCGCTCCCAGGGGCGCTGCCCCCGGACCCCCGTTCGTTCAGGGGCTTCACCACTAAATGACAGTCTACTTTTAATCTTGAATAAACTTAAACAAGTGTGCACTCCACAACTTCCTTACTTGTTTAATATGTATCAAGATCACTTTTGGTCAACAAAGTAATCCCATACACTTAAATCACATTAGTGAAACAAATCACCAACATTTAATATACATAACATTTTTTTTTGTCTCTGGAAGAGACTAAAAAGAAGCTAGAGGATCTTTATCTTATGATACCTTTGTGGGGGAACAATGACTTCGACTATTCTCGTAGTTTGACGAGAGGCTTTTCAGGGGGTATCCTTTGTGTTTGGAATAAATCTTTGTTCTTGAAACAAAAAGTTTTTGTTGAAGTTAATTTTATTATCGTTGAGGGAATTTGGAGACCTACTAATTCTCGTTTGTTGGTGATCACCATTTATGCTCCGGAACTGATTTTTGAGAAAAAAAGCTTTGGGATTATCTTTCTCGTGTTCTTGGGCCACGGGAGGGCGAAGTTATCATTATGGATGATTTCAATGAAGTTCGTTTTGATTATGAGAGATATGGGTTGGTTTTCAATTCCTCCGATGCGGATATTTTCAATAGTTTTATTTCTAATAATTCTCTATTTGATGTCCCACTTGGTGGTTACTATTATACTTGGGCTGATAAACCGGCATAAAAAATGAGTAAACTTGACCGCTTTTAATTTCTAAAGGTTTGATTGATGTTTTTCTTTATATCTCGGGGGTGTTCTGGATCGCCACTTGTCTGACCATCGCCTAATTCTCTTAATGGAATGGGTTTGTGATTATGGATTGTCTGGGTTTTAAGAAGGTGGTAGAGAATTCTTAGAAGAATGATGGTGTGGTAGAGGAAAATGGGTTGGTTTCTCTAAAAAAGAAACTCCAAGTTTTAAAGAAAAATATTAAGGATTGGAGCTCGCAAGCTAGAGTAGATTGATTTAATGTAAAAGACGACTTGGTTAAGAAGTTGTCTAAGATTGACAAGCAGGTTGATATGGGATTGTCTTTTGAACCGGTTGCGGCTTTGGAAGATGATGTTTCTTCTGAAGAGATTAAAAAGGTTATATGGGATTGTGTTGTGGATAAATCTCCATTTCCAGATGGGTTCTCTTTTGATTTTATTAGGAGATTTTGGTACTTGATGGAACCTGATTTTGTGAAGGCGGTGAAACAGTTCTTTCCTTCTTCTGTTTTCCCGAATGGGTGTAACCCATCGTTCATTGCCCTTATTCCTAAAGTGGTTGGTGCCACTAATGTCAAAGAGTTTCGTCCCATTAGTTTTATTGGATTTCAATATAAGATAGTGGGCAAAGTTCTTGCTAATTGGTTGAGTTTCGTGGTAGATAATTTAGTTAGCAAGGAGTTATTAAGGAGCAGTTTGCTTTCATTAAAGGTAGACAAATCCTTGATGGCCCTTTTATTATGAACGAAATCATGTCTTGGTGTAAGTCCAAAAATAAATCGGTCATGGTTTTCAAATTAGACTTTGAAAAAACTTATGACTTGGTGATGTGGGATTTTCTTGACGATGTTATGTGTAAGATGGAGTTTGGCGTTAGATGGTGAAGTTGGATTCGCGGTTGTTTATCTTCTTCTTAGGGGTTGGTTCTGGTCAATGGCTCTCCCACTGAAGAATTCTAGTTTTTTGTGGGATTGAGACAAGGTGTAACATCCCAAAAATACAGTCTAAAATTTTCGTTTTAAAATCATTAATAAAACCATAATAATAAAACCATAGTCATCAAACAACATATAAAAATCATAAACAGTGTATCTCAAAATATCATAACAACTGTCAAATATATCAGAGTATAAACATCTCAGGACCCTTCAATATAAGCAACTAATCTAGTTCCCTCTTCTCAATGTGCTCTAAGTCAATATCCCATTCTCGTGCTCTAGAAGTCATATCATTCAGGGTCTCACACCCCGAGATACTCACGATCCCGCTGCTATCATTCTGTAGTATGTCCTGATACCTTACCTTCTTTATTTCCTCATCTGCTGCATATTGTGGTACTAACTAAGCTCTCTCCCGAGACTTGGCAGTGATATCTTCCACAGTCTCAGTAGTCTGGCGGAGATCTAATAACTCTTCCGCCAACTGCTGCACCTCAATCGTCTGGGCAAATTCTGCCCGAAATCTGGTCGAAAAGTCATCCCATGACATAGCATCGACCGCATCAGCACCCAACTCACTTCCAACCTCTTCCCATCAATCACGTGCCCTGTCTTTCAGGAGGCAGGAAGCAAGTCAGTCATTGTCCCC